TTACTCAGTAATTTAATCTGCTTATAATACTGGCCGCTGTGCTATTGATGGCGGGCCTCAAGAGTGAGATCCAAGTCAGAACGAGGCAAGTGAGTCCCGTAACCGATCTGTGAGCCTCCATCCACCACATAAGTACTCACCCTTACATCGATATCTTATACGTGCTAGTGAAGAAGACTTACTCAATTCATTAATTTAGCAGTGGGATTAACTGCCTTTGCGATAGTTCCATAAACTTAGGGACATTACGTCAACCGACTGACGTCTCTGACTCCGATAAAGGTGCGTAGATTATAAAAGTAGGTAAGTTGCATTCGTGGAGATTCACGCTCTAATTTTGTCCTTTAACTGTATAAATAATTGTTCTTTAAATAGGTGCTATCTGAGTCAAAGTCCATTACCATCTTTGAATTCGGTAAATCTCTTAGGTAGACTGGAAGTAACCTTAATGTCCTTAGTGAACATAAGTAATCCTGGACGACTGAGTTAATACCTCGGCTCTTAATAAACTTTATTTAACCTCGCAATGTCAGCCTTGGAAGGCATTTGTGAGTTGCACTCTGAAATTATAATCACTGACACTTGATTAGCAAATAATTGGAGTTTGGAATAAAGCACCTTTCGGGCAATTCCTAACCAGGCGATTGAAAGCTAGACGTAGTGTTAAACTGTCAGTGATGCACTACGCGTTTCATTTAGAATGTTGAAAAGTAGACCATAAATGTGGAATGCGATTCAAGCTCACCAAAAGTAGCCTTTCGCACTGAAAATTAAAAATTGAAACGAGAGGCAGAATTAGTGCTCCTCGTCTGGCTTCCTTGCTCTGTGAAACATGCGCAGGTTGGGTTAACAATGACAGCAGTTGAAAGCAGTTGCATAGCAACACAACAATAGCCAAACATGCCAGAATTTAAAGATAGAACAATGAATGAAGTGGCCATACCCAACTGACTTGAGAATTTTAAAGCATTGTCTCCCAGGTACGAATTTAAAGCAAGCGTACACAGCAGGATTTATTCGTACAGACAAATTTTGGGCCAGCTTTTCAACTGCTTCCTGTCTTTGCATGAATTAGACAACCAATAAAGAACACAGCAGTTTAAATTTGCACGGAACCAATATATAACAGCAAGGTCATTTTTAAACGCAGTGAATAGTCAACAATAATGTTGCCTTTAAATTTGGGATACAGTAAGGAAAAGTGGGGACGGGAACTAACAAAAATCAAAGGTTGGTTTCATGTAGGCATTCGCTCACCAGGGCAGTTGGACATTAGCCAAATGATCTAACTATTTACAAACTTTCAAGGGAGTAAGGAACACTAGTTCAGCTGCATCGTACGGTCTTTGGTGCAACGTAGCAGTCTCTAAATTGTATTTGAAATGTCACCTTTAACGGGTAAAGATATAAAAACAGGCTTCTTCGGAACTGGGCGTGTCGTACATACTAATTATCGCTTCTTTTTCGTTTAAACCATCCATATTTTGATGTCTAGTTTTGCCTCATGTGTCACACAGGCAGAAACAGAAGGACGCAGAATTGAAGGCCAAACTGTTGGCACAAAAACTTCAAAAGCAGAAGGAGGAGGAGAGGAAGCGCGAAGAAAGAGCACAGAGGAGACAGGCCGCTCGGGACTCCTACCTAGCATGGGAACTCCGCAAGGTAAGTATTTAGGACAATTCGAAAAAAACGGTAACAGCTAAGTTGGTCACCCACCTTAGATACTGTTAGTCCCAGAATTCAGTCTTACGGGATCGGTGGTATTAATTTAGTTTAGTTTATTTATCATTTTAGTTAGTTTTGTTTAGTTTACCTAGTTTAAGTATAACTAAGGTTAAAAGACTACAATAAGCCTTAAGTTAAACTAACAAAACTAAAAGCCAACACAGGACTAGGGGAACCTAAAGGGGGCGATCAATTTAACTGTTACCGAAAAAGCGTTTATCATGAGTGTTCGTCCAAAAAACGTTCCACAGTCTCAAGTCGGATTTTTATAGCCAGTGGGCCCCGGAGTTACTCCTGTTTTCATAATCACTGCCAACCATGCGGTGGCAACAAAGTAAAGTGGCATTACCACCACTACCAAAACGGAGAAGCAAGTGGTATTCAGCAGA